CTTGGAACCATGGGTAGTAACCGTTTTTTTTTCTACGACTTTTAGTGGTAAAGCCTTGGGGGTTTCGTGTAACGTTAACATTTAATAAAATTATCATGTAGTTGTTTTTCATTGTAGGTGTTGTAGAGATTTTGGAAAGCGTTCTACCGATTTGTCCATCCAGTAAAATCTTGTTTCGATGCTTCATCTTACAACATATCAAAAGCTTATTGTTTTTAGCCCACACAACCTTTAAGCCCGTCTTTTTTTTATGGAACAGTCGTGTACAGTCATAAATCTCGAACCAGTATTAGTCTCAAAAGAAACGTCATTCCAAATGGATAAGAACCATTACAAAGAGAGAATAAAATCCGTACTTTAACTCGTTGGAGTCCAATATGGCAACTTTCGAGATATGTCTTTATCAAGAATTATAACGTGTGGATTCTTTACAAGCTTCTGTTTATGTGTAATTGATTTAACAGACTATCACGTATATACCTTATCTTCCCATTCAACTAGGACTGGGTATTTTTTTCTTCTTTCTTTCTATACAGTTATCGTACACTATTGACGTGTATGTTAAATCTCTACCAGAACGAGAGGAACAATGGTCAGCACGGAATAATAATAATAGTAGTAGAGGTATAATTGTTTCCAGATAATTATAGATTACTGATCTCCTTTGACAGTTTTTTTACTGTAGCCTTTAATAATAAATCAAATAATTATTCAGAAGACTGAGTCAGCGGTAGGCTTGTAGACTTACAACACTAAAATCCGGTGTTCGATTCCCGCGACGGACAGAGTGCAGTTAGCCCATTGTGTAGCTTTACACTAAGAAAAGTACTACAATATTTGGCCATTGACCTTGTCTTTTCAGTAAAATGCTTGATTAAATGTATGAAGAATCTGTAGTGTGTCTTTATAGACTATAACAAAGCGTTCGGCATTATGACGAGAACTACAGTAAAACAATATGGATTGACAGTCTTTTAAAGAGTTAATTATAGTAGATGCGTTCAAGTTAAGACTTGGTTTGAAGGTTTCCATGTTCTTCAGAAGGAGTCTCGATGTTGACAAAGGAGAAAAACCTCTCGATTTTCTCGAGCTTTTTAAATAACTTTGTTGAATTTTTGCAGCATAAGCCTAACGGGCCTAACCATATTATTGAAATAGTGCATGGCGATTTGTATTATTCAGATTATACAGAGACGCATCTTTTACTGCTAATACTACTACAGGTGATAACGTTGTTTAAGACTCTTGGACTGGTCAGTAGACGTTAATTCAAGCAAGTTGATGATTTTGGTTATTTAGACGAAACTTGAATCTTTAATGGCTCATTTTCTATGTTCACGAGACATCCAATGGTGAAAACGTAAGAAGTTGAACCTATCTATAGACATTCCGATGGCGTTATTTAATATTATGATATTACCAGTTTTGTTGTATGGTCTTTTAAGTTGGGAGTCACGAAGATCACATTATTTCCGGTGTAAAATCAACACCCAGTAAGATTGTTTATGGAGAACTTGGTAGATGTATTTAGTAAATATATTAGAATTCGTACAATGGTTTATTGGGCAATATAGTTATCTGGTAAGGAGAATAAAGTACCTTTCATTACGTTTAGGTTATTATTTGCCATTCATCCTTTTGACGAAAATTCTTCTTCATGGTCACGTCGTATAAAAAAGGCTCTTCAGTGACGTCGGGATGACATTTGTGTGGGATAGCCAGTGTAGAATGGATAAAATCAAACCTTTAAATACGGCAAAACTGGAGAAATAACACTTCTGATTTTGAGACTTATCCTAATTTTGTTTTAAATCTGCCACACCTTGAACTATACTTACTTAGATTACCGACTAATCTCAAACAACTAGTCTAAAAAAAAAACATATACAGCGGAAATGACGTAAACTGATTGTCTAATCATGTAATCTACCGGGACACAGCTAGACACTCTAAAACGCCTCTTAACTTTAGCATACACTATATATGTACCACAGAAAACAACTCAATGCTTCACTAACGTCAACCAGTTCCATACTAAAGTATTAGGTCGTCAAGAAATTAATGTCGCTTTCTTTAGATGAAAAAACCCGAACAATTTATATATCAAAACAAAACATTTATTAATTG